AACACTACCTGTATTATATTCGAATAAAAATAATAAATTACATTATTATGATTGCCGACTAAGCTGATTCGGCGCAATGTTTATATTAGAATTATAAACTATTTGTAATCGTGGTTAAAACGAAATAGACTTTCAGCAATGTACGATTTTTATATACTTTTTAATTTCTTAGGCAGCATAATTGAACTTATTTTACTCAATTTTCAGATTTCTCACAAAGTTGCAAGTGAAAAAAATTAAGAAGTGCAGAAGGTTGGTCCTGAAGTAATATGTAACAAAGGCTTCCAATAACTATACCTTTCTTCGCTTGCACAAAGTAAAAATTTGAAAAACCCAAGGGGTTAAAAGGATGAGTCAGCCTTTTAGATTTTACTATCTAATGATAAACTACGTGTACTGAATAACTACATATTAATATATTATGTGGTTATTCAGTACAAAGAAGCCTGCACAGTAATATAAAGATGGTTTATAGTTAAACTAAATTTCCATATATTTAAATTAAGAAAGTATCTATATATATAAACGTTATTTAATATTATTTAAAATATTATATTAAATTAAATAATAGTTTTCATTGTTAAAATTTTACTTTTTCATAAATCTTGCAGTAAATGCAATGCACAATGCCGTAGACGTTTGCTACTGTTTGTCTAACATAAAAGAAGTGAATGAAATTGATTTTAAATAAGCAAGGACAATGTTAGTCTAACTTCAGCATACATTCCTTTAGTCAAGATGTAATTCTAACAAACAGGTTACAACCTTATCGAAGTATCTACCCCCTCCTCCACAGAGAAGGTAATGAGCGACGCGAGACGAATAAAATATCCCGTTGCCATGACTACCACGGGCGACAACCCCCTAAGCCTGACTAAGCCTACTTTAGATGAAAAAAATTTAAAAGAATATTACCTCTCGGAATAATATAATTTATTATTTTCATTCGAATATAATATAGGCAGTTGTAGCTCAGTGGTAACGCTCTTGTGAAACCGAGTGAAGCGGGATCAAATCCCGATTCTCGCACCGCTGATGTTTTCATTTCCCATATATCAAAAATATTATATTTATCATATTTTAAGTGTTATTACACATAATATTGAACTGTATCGATTTCTCTAGCGCATTATTATGTACATTTAATCTTTTCGCTTTTAGATTACGAGAAACAGCTGTTAAACAATTATCCCAGTATTGTTGACATTTTATATAATAATAGATTTTTATAAATAAGTACTTAATATGTACGAGAATATTTCGCTAAGGTTACTTTTGCCACATACGAGAATTGATTTTGCGACCTAAGGTATAGTGATAGCTAGCTATATAGTGCCTTCCATATTCTATCAATTTTATAAAAACTTTTAGAAACTTCAACATATTAGGAAAATAAATCACAGAGCGTAATAACAGCGAGGCAGACATAATAAATTTTGTAACGTATCTAAATTCTGAACGGAACACGCGGTGCCGTACAGAAAAAGGGCGATTTGAAGAATATCGTCTACGCGAGAAAACTCCTGGCAGCCCGCCCGGAACTGTTATAACATAAAAATATTGTTTTTGTAAGATTATATATAATACTAGAGACTCATCCTCGTTCTGCTCGTGTTCGTCTCTAGGAACAGAAAAAGCAAAAGTATCCCTTATGTTGACTATGATAACCAACTATCATAATACCACATCAAAATCTGTCCAGTGGTTTTCTCGTCATGCGTTCCCAGACAATATAACTTAAAAAATAAATAAATACTGTAGATTCGGCCTCTGTATCGACAATAATGACAATTGAAATGAAAATAAATCAATAAATATTGAATGTACAGATTCGACTCAGAATTTTACTTTATTTATTTATTTATTCTTAGTCTAGTAATACACTAAGAAAAACCAAATATACCTACATGTAACTCTAAAGTCTAAAATATATGTATTTTAAAATTTAATTAGTAAGATGTTGCTTCAAAATGATGTATTAACAAAATATAAACTGGTACAAATTTAACCCATTAGATTCTTTCTAGTCTAACACAACACATTTATAAACACAAAATTTTCAAAACACTATATAGTCCAATAATAATATATTATAAGCAATATTTCATCTTAGTTTAAAAGCCTCTAGTTTAAATGACTACAGGTACAGAATTAAAAAGGTGGAAGGATCCAAAACGAGAGCAAATACTAATCCAATTATAGCGTCACTATATTGGACAAAGCGTGGGGTAATCGATGCGTCTAGACAAACCTGGGGGCGCAGTATATCTGAATGATTTTAAAGGGTTCACAGATTTTTTGTATGAATCTAATATCCTCTTAACGCTATATGCGAAAAAGTTTCTTTTGTCTTAGGGTCTTAAACCAAAATTAAGTAAAAGTTGGTACGCACATAGAGGAGAAGAACTCTTCGTACCATCATACTCTTTACTTTGCGTAAATGCGTCATTAATTGCAAAAAAATCAATAATACAATGTTATAATATACTCTATACAAAAATTTTAATTAACGTATCGATAATGGTTTGTATTCAGCCCTTTTTGACGTCCCACTGCTGGGGGTGGGCCTCCCAATACGAGGGGGATCAGGCGTAGTCCACCACGCTGGCCAAGTGCGGGTTGGCGGACTTCACATGTCTTTCGAAAACTTGCTAGGCTCTCTCAGACATGCAGGTTTCCTCACGATGTTTTCCTTCACCGTAAGGCAAGTGGTAATCATGTTAGAAAATGATTCGCACATGAAATTATTAGAGGTGCGAGACCTGGGATTTGAACCCGTTTCACTCGGTTTCCCAAGCGAGCGCGTTACCACTGGGCTACCACTACCTTTTTTAATAATGGTTTAATAAAAATATAATAAATCACGAAAAATCACAAAAAAAGCAAATACACTCTACATTTTATGAGATCACTCGGTAAGTCCAACTTCATAGAGAAATGATATTTAGGTATATGTTATAAAGTAGTCTAGACATCTCATAATTTTCTTTTACAGTTTTATTAAAAAACGCACTAACGAGAGACTGGTGCATTTTACGCAGACTTCAAAACGTCGAGCCAAAAAAGTATCTTATATTTAAAATAAAACTGCAGCATTGTAAGGTACAAATTTTAGGTTATTACTTATTAAGGTTCAGATGAAAACATTCAGCAAAAAGGTAAAACTCATAAAGTGTCGATAAGAGCTTAACTGTAGATGTTTTTAACAATTTATTTTTATGCAATACATAAAAGCGATTTATATTTGTGTGATACGTATATGTATAAATACATACTCTTTCTACAGTCTATTTGTTATTCGCGCCCCTTCTATCTTAGTACTATTTCCTACACCTAAAGGTTGCCTGGAAGAAATCGCTCTTTTAGCGATAAGGCCGCCTCTTGTACCTTCTTCTATATTTTGTATATTTTCTCTTCTCTTTTTGGGTGTGCAATACAGAGTTATTCATTCATTACCTACAATTTTTCTAAAACCACTTTTTTTAAAAGTCATTTACATCAAAGCCTAGAATATCGCTCAACATACTTATTACGCTCAACACAGAAAAGATTGGTCACATGTAGAGACTCCCAAACGAAACATGGGACTACGAAATAAAAAAGGAATTAAATAGCCATTTTATTTTAAGGGAATTAACTTTCCTCTTCCACTAGCAAAAAAAATAGCAAAAAAAAATAGCCACAGCTGATGCCCACAATCAACGCCAGGGAAAAAATTAAGTTTTGAAGGACTTTTCGCCACTGGCGGTCCGTGTACTGATATATATATATATATATACACTATTAATTATCGATATTTATATATATCAAATTTTTGATAAATGATGATTTGAAATATGTATATATACATATTTCAAATCATCATTTATCAAAAATTTGATCAGCCGTCATAAAATATAATTAAAATATGTGTAAATGAATCGTATTTATTCAACAAATGATTTTAAAAGAATACAATAAATACGAAGTTACAAATATAATATGATGGTTTATTAAAAGACTAATCAATACTTGGGTATGTTCTATAAAGCTGTAAAGGTCAACTGCCAAGGACGGGATGAGGACGAAGGGATTCATCAACAGTGGCCTTCAAAATCTCTTGTAAGCTCTACTGTCATATATGTCTTATTCAAAATAAATGGTATTCTTTTTATATCAGTACTAACGACTCACCCTCGCTTCGCTCGGGTTCGTCCCTACTTACGTTTTAACGTTTAGTATCGATTTCTCAGAGATGAGATATTTTCCTGCAGTAAAAAGTGTCCTATATGTTGACCCGGATAACCAGCTATCATCATACCAAATTTCATCAAAATCCCACCAGCGGTTTTTCTGTGATGCGGTAACAGACAGACAGACAGACAAAAATTCTAAAAACCATAGATTCGTCCTTCTATTCAATAAGATTCGTCTCTGTCTATTTCAATAAGATTTTCCAAAAAATATTTAATGTACAGATTCGACTCAGAATTTTATTATATATGTATAGATTGTTTAAAAATACATTAAATTAAGAGTTATTAAAAAGACGGAAAAGAGGTTTAAATTCGACGCGTAGATACATTTTTTATCTGTGATTACTAATTACTTCGTGTGGTTAACACAAATAACAACACAATAAAATACCAGAAATCAATAAAACAAACATTAAGTTTCCCTTTCATCCACTCTTTTACGTTAATATATTTTTTATTAAACAAGCAATTCTTGTATATGTATAAATTTATTTCGTGTATCTGGCTCTAACAATTTGGATCTAATTTTATTATATTTAGATAACATTTTTTAAGTTTATCTATATAGATGTCTGTTCTAAAAAACGCAATTTTTATATATTTTCCGAATTCGAGCGACACTGAGCTTTGCTCGGCATTTAAGTAATAAAAATATAAATTTGCTGTCTGCTGAACCAGCATAATATCGAATAAATAATATTCTTTAGGTGATTTTATTTTAAATTCAGTTTATTTCTTTAATAAACATATTTTAGCAGTACTTACATTCTGTAGGCGTTTAAAGTCTTCGACATTATACGTGATGGCGTCCTAACAAGCACTATCCATCACAATGCACTAACACGGTTTACACAATATACACAGTATCACTAAGTATAAATTGACATAAAAATAGTTTCTAATTTAACCACGACACCTGCAAAACCGGAATGAGATTGAACTTGCTATTCTGCATCTCAGGACTTGGACGACTCGAACACTTAACAAGAAATGATAATGATATCGATACGTTGGTTACCTTTCAAGAAGCTTAAGCCAATTTAATGCAGTATTGGATTTATATGCATAAAATATAAGTATATTTATATTATGTAGGAAAATAATACACATATTCTTCGACACTATTATGATATGAAAATTTAAAACCATCGAAGACATAGTAGTTCTCGAGAAGAAAAAATTTTTTTTTAAAGTAAGTAAGATATAGCAATAAAGTTATATAAAGAAATTAATTTTAGAAAATTACAATGTACCCATAATGTACCCGATTTAACGCAGAACCGTTACTTAAACCATTATCAAGGCTAATTATATTCAGAATCGCAAATCTTCAAAGATCTAACCAACACAACGCCGTAGTCTTAACGTTATAAAATGGAGAAGACAAAAAATACGACGCAGGAATGATAAAATGCAAAATAAAAACGAAAGCAAAATTGAATCTTCAGTTCAAACACGTGTATTTTTTGGCACAGTCGCGGTGTAAACTGGACCACTTGCCAATTATTGCACAATTTCGTACCGACAAAGAGGAACTGAGGGTATTCCTGGTGTGGAAATGGGACAGAAGTATAATCGGAATTAAAATAGACCGACTCCTACGCAACTCCGCGGGTTGGTGTGTCGTTGATCCCTTTAGATCATTGTCTGCCGTTATGAGACCATTTGTTTGTTTTTGTTGTACACTTGCCTTGCCGATTGTAACAACAGATGTTTGCAAACAAATTATCAATTCTAAGTTTTAATTACAAAATTAATTTATTGGGAATGTTGCTAGCTTAGAGATCTTTTAAAATAACTAATTATCTTTACATTGTACGTATAATAATAATTATGTTAGAATATGTTCTGAAAATTTAATTTAGTAAGCATACTGTGCCTCGTCCCATGCGGTCTACACGTGCAAAACGTGGCAATATACATATTTATATGGAAAGGTTTCAGTCGAAGCTCCAGATTGAACTAATTAAGTTATGTACGTCTAAGATGGTGCTACTTTTCTTAATAGCCCTAATAGAGTGTATAAGATTTACTTGATAAACTTTACAGGCCTTACTTGATGACTTACAAAGTGAATTTATTTCATAATTTTTCTTATGGATGTCTGTCTGTTTGTATTACATTTTCACTTCTAACAATTTGCTCCATCTCAATGAAATAAAGTATTGATAACTTGCATTTTGAAGAAAGACAAATATTCTTTTTATCTTGGAAACAGTTTAAATGTTTGGAAACGAACTAACAAACGATTTTTTTTCATTTCATAATGTAATTTTTATAACCTAGCTAAAATCTAGTCGTATTTATAACTAATTGATTAGAAAAAAGAGAAAAAAATCGAGAAATTCAAATATATAATGTTACAAAAAAAATGTTATGTAATGTACATTTAGTTTTATTAATATCTAATCCTAACCTATATCTAAAACCTGTTTATTTTATACCAAGTCATAATATAAGTTAAGAGCATTTCAAATAGTAAAATCTCCATTTAAATATAAATACAATCTCTAGAGTCAGTTTCAGCGGCGAATAAGTAATAAACAAAATTCATATCTGAATACTGGCACGAATGGGCTGAGGACACGCAACAGTTATGGCCGATATAACTTATAATTTTAGCAGCGATTATTACCTACAAATTAGAAGCCAACGTTTATTTACTTCATTATTCTGTCGTTATCTATTAAATTTGAAATGAGTCATAAAACGTAAGATGTAAATTTTCACCCTCCAAGTCTCCTGACTTGAAGTTTTACGATTTTTTATCTATTATATATGTATAGATAAACTTTTTAATGTCGACTTACATATCTATAACGTAAAACCCTAATTCTGTATTTTATACATATCTTTAGTACGTTTAAAAGATATTTTGACTTTAGATATATATTAAATCGATCTGAAACAATTCTATTAAAAATACCGCTATTTCAATAGCATACGAAGGGTTCCGTACCCCTGTACGTGTACTTTTTATTAAAATGACTTACTCTATGTATGTAGGTATTTTAACTTTGATAACCGATCACGAACGTTAAAAAAAGGTTTCTAGTTTTTTTTTTGTTATAGCGGCGATAGAAATACTTACTCTATGAAAATTTCAACTCTCTACTTATTACGGTTCATGAAATACAGCCTACTGACAGACGGACGAATGGACAACGGAGGCTTTGTAATAGGGTTTCCTTGGCACCCTTCGGGTACGGAACCCTAAAAAAGCATTACAGAGAATTTGATTATTTAGAATTATAAAGTGCACCTTCGAGCCATTTCAGTAAAATTGAGCCGTTTTAAAAGAAATATAAAGGATTCGCTTAGCAAGTTACACCTACAGCTTAGTAAGCCTTGACTCTGTTCTTTGTTTTCTGCTAATAATGGCAAACGGACACTATTAACTAATTAATAATTAAACTGCTAACGATTGTGACACGATAATTATGAAAATGAACCCGCGACATCCGACGTAATAGACAATGACAGAAATCTTAAAACTAGGCCAAAGGAAAAGGAATAACATTTAAATAGAACTTAAATGTTTAATAGTCCATTACGTGTCATTAACAACTACGAGTATTAAACACGAAGTAGAGCATCAAGTAAAGCAGAACATGGCGAAATGGCTCCGATCTTGGATCTTAACAATTGGAAACTATTAACTAGCTCTACCAATTTATTTAGAGTACCGATTAGCAATCATGTTGTATTGACTTTTTAGTTTTCAGTTAAGTGTCGCCGTTCATTTGAGAATTTTTTTTGTTACACAGATATATGTTTACGAAATTCTTGATTATTTAAATAGTAAAAAGTTTTTTCTTTGTCTTTGTTATTTTGATACAAAAATGTTAAAAAAAAATCTATTAATTCTTCTCAACGCGATACCATAATAGCGAAATTCCTAAACCTAAGTATTAAGCCAATATCCTAGAAGCAAATGGGAGAAATGGCATAAGTTGATTGTAATCCTTCAGTGCTACGTTGCGCTTCATTAAAACAAAACTAGACACGTGATAAAAAATACCAAAAAGAAATGAAGATTGATAATAAATGGGAGGATATTAGTATGAAGCAATTACTTTGCAATTAATGCATTCTGAACATATCGTGAGAGGCTATTGCAATGCAATAAGAGATCGGAATGAGTTAGAGCATGACTTTAAATGAAAACCTTTGTCTGAAGTGAAAAAAATATACTTTGAACTCTACTGAAGATATAAAATAGTAAACTCCTCAGCTTAACCTATTTTAACTCAACATTTCAAGAAAACACAAAGTCTTATTACATTTATTTGTTTCAAGAGCAATCAAGTTTCAATTAAAAAGTTACAGTCTAAGATTATGTTGAAATAATTAATTGAAATATCATATTCGAACAATAAAAAGGTATTATTAGTTAATTATCTTTTTTATTATATAAGAATTGACTAAAAATATATAAATGATAATAAATAGCTAAATTATAAAGGAACAAGAAAAACATAAGGAGTGTATTGCTTCTTGTGCAGTAGCGTAGAACAGCTTGTCCAACTATTTTGTCTTGTATTTTATATACTATTATGTGGACACAAGGTTGATATTTTCCTGATCAATACAATGTTCAGATTGGCAGGTGAAGAATTTTAATGACCGAGTCGGAATTACAAGCGACAGAACCGATAATTTACTTCACGTGTTATCTAAGTTTCTATCTGACAATGTGAATGAGAGATTTTATAAAATTGGTTATGCAATAAATAGCCATGGATGAAGGCCTATTTTTGAAAAAAAAAAACTTTACACATCGACTAGAAAGTCAATATAACATTATTCCACACTAGGTGGAATTTTATCTTCAAATTTATAGGGCCATTCTCTTTTAAGGAGTATACTCATATTCCTTAAAAGAGAATCATAAAAAACAAATAAAATCACTATTAAAAAAAATTGTTTCACTTTGCTAAATCGGCCAACAAGTAAGATATCTTCTTCGAACGCCATTTCGATTAAACACTGTTCATACAAATTGAACCCGCTAGCACCTAGTAGTATCTGTTGTTTAGGCAGATCCAATTATACTGCAAACGTTAATTCTCGATTTTGACACATATAATTAACTTTATATACAACGAAATAAAATTACAATCAGTCAATAAAATAAACGAAGCGTTAAACAATGCTCATCGATTAAGCTAAATAAGGTGAAATTTCGGGCATCGATAAAACAAGTAGAGCAAAGTTTATAAAAACAAAGGATTTCATATAAACATGCAAACAATAAACGAATCTTTGTAGGCAAAGGTAACGATACTAAACGTCAATCAATAACAAAACGTAGTTGCAATCACGAGTAACTTAAAACGTAAGTAAATGACCGATAACTGCATCAACGTATCGATAAGCATTACAACTAATAGAAAATATTTAATAAGCTAACACGCTAGTCTCCCGGTGAAATCTGGAAGAGTTTATTCAAATAGAAAAACCTTTTAAACACTACGGTGGCTGTTTAATAGTAATAGAAAACTTAAGGACGGTAAAATGGACGCGTATTTTATGTGAAGAGCGTTTATTTAATGCCGGCACCGAGGAGCGATCTCGACACGTCCGCTCCCTGGTATCTACGAGTGCGTACTAACGTGAATCGACTCGATGACCTAGGGTGGCGCATGCAGTGGCGCCAAGGTATCGAGTCGATAGATATAATAGAAAAAATGACTAAACCAGTCTACTTTTACGTAAATTTTCATTATTTGCTCAATTAGCGATAATTGAAGAATAAAATGACATTGCGATGTAAAAAAACATAGTTTGATAT